GGGTCACTCTCATTTTGTATAAACAGAGCTGTTCTGATCTTAGCAAACCTATTCTAGTATGGAAACACTAGAAATTAGAGCCACAAGTAATGGGAGCTCATGGAGATGGCTGCACACAGGGTATGAGGTTTGGGAGATGGCCCTCTATAACTGGGCAGCTTTTTCTATGGAAAATGCCCTCTGCCCTTTGCATATTCCACAGTAGCCAACATTAGATTTCTTTTTTCTTTCTCAGCCTCCAGAAGAGCAGCTGTTCAACATAAAGAATAAAGAGTGAGTGTCAGAAAGCCATTGGGAAACCCTTTTTTTAATGGGACCATCTGCTTGCATTTGCCCTTTCCAAAAATCAATGAATTTGATTTTTATGTATTCAGTTCCTTAAGCCTGAAAATATTCATTGGAATACTATAGGTGAACAAAGTCCACCCTGTCAGCCCCAACTGATTTCTCTGAGGTTGATCAAATGCTGTCAGGTCCAGGGAAGTTCTGTGGTGAAAATAGCACCCAGAGGTTTCCATGAACCAACAGTGGATGGCTGCAAATGGGACAGTGTTCCAAGTAGAGGATTTATTTTAAAGATAACATTACTATTTTCAAAAACAGATCAAATCGTTTAACAAAACCCATTGGACCAGTTGAAATTCAGTGGAGATTCCTTCATAATTTGGAACCTTATAACTTTTAACTTAACATTTTGTCCCAAGATAAATGATGAAAAGTTTCCCATCAGTGATCAGTTATGGAAATTCATTGCCAAGTTGCCCTGCTTCTGGGGATGGTGGATGGGGAAGTACAGTCACTTCTGGAGGGACTTAGGGGAAAGTGAACTTGGGATGCTGGAGACTGAGGGGAAAGTTCATCCAAAGCATGTATCATGGAGGCCCACAAATTCAAGCACCACCCAAGAGAGTCACATACAATTTTATTCTTCATGGAGAAGGGTTCAAGTTGCCCACAAGTGCCAGTCTACCTCTCTTCACACTGTGACTCGTTAACCTCTTCCTTCAGCCAAAAGCTTCAACTTTATTTCACCCCATCATTATTCCTGTGTCCCAGACATGTCAATGGAATATTAATATTATTTTGATGAGAATTTTATTTCATCACATGGATTGCAGACTAATTACATAATAACTTTCTATTCATCAAGGAGTCTCTAGCAAGTAGAACAAAACCAAATAATCCAGGGAAGAGGGAAGGACACTAACTTTTATTGCAGTTCTCTTAAATCCAGGTGTTTTACATAGATTATCTAAGAAAAGTTCATCCTAGGCAATAATCCACTGAGGTCTGACAAAGAAAGGGAGACATATAGAGGTTGAAAAGTTATCCAAGATCTCAAGACCAGAGTTTAAAAGCAGGCAGATACAGGGACAAAGTCTAGAATCTTTCAACTGACAAAACACGAGCTTTAAATGCAGAATACCTATAACTCTTAGACCACCTCCTGAAGTCTGCAGACCAACAAGGGAAAGAGTGATAATAGGCACCTTGTGTCTTGAATTCAGAAAGAGCCCACTGGAGCTCTTGGGGGCCCTGAATAAACCAGATTCTCAACAACTCAAGGCCAGTCCTCCTTTTCCAGAATGCAGCTTCCCCTTGCTCAGATAGAAAAGACAGTCTGCCAGTGGGTGCAACAAGAGCCTTGTTTTCTGCTCAAGTCTGCAGCTTGAAGTTCTCATTTTGAATGATCCAAACCCTCACCTAGCTATCAAGGTATGTAGGGCTAACTTGTCACTTTCAACCTGTACCAGAGAATCACCAGATGGTATTCGGGCTGATTCTGTGCTTTGGCTGACTAATCTGCCCAGGTACAAGAGTAAACAGAGAGCCCGGGGACACCATATGTCCCTGACTCAACATGTTTGCCGGAATCACCATAACTCTTACGCAGCATATGTTTTCCTGGGCCAAGGTGGAGGTGGGTCAGAGGAAATGTATCTTGAAATTAAAGGCTGAATGATTAAAAACATAAAGACATATATAGGGAGTGGGCATCTGTTAGTCATATCCTAACTGATGTTTATTTTTAAACCATGCTTTGTTTTACAGTGTTCAACTTTGTTCACTTTTTCCAGTGCTTGACATTGCAGTCCCTCAGGGATATGAATTGAATGGAAGTGTTGAATTCCTAATTCATTTTCTTTCATTACCAGTCTGGAATTTCATCCTAAATTGAAAATGAAGCCAACTCTAGTTTAATTTAAGGAATCCCCTGTTAAGATTGGGACATGGCATCCCCATAGGGTGCCTGGTTCTCCTAACCCTTTCAGAGCCTCCCTTCCCCTCACTCCCAACAGAACCTAAAGGTGAAGGCTGGAGGTAATAGTTTTAGAGTCAGCTGCTCAGTGGCTGAGAAAACTGGAATGCTTCTGAGGATGGCCAGTTAGCACTCATTAAGAATATAATGGCTTCTATCACCTCAGTTTCTTAATTAACCAGATTAATAGGGGTATGGGTTAGTAAAGACCAGAATCTTAAGTACACATAATGGAAGTGTTGAACTGTAGGACTTAAATATGTCTAATTCATTTTTCCCACATAAAAGGGAATGAAGTAATCTACCTAGGGTCATATCATTGTGAGAGGTCCACGTGGATCGAGAGCTCAAGGTCTCTCTCCGTGGTCCAGTGTTTTTCTACTGCCTGAGTCACGAGCTGGGAGACCCCAGAGGTGGATATCTACCTTCCATACTGTAGGCATTCAGGCCATGGGCTACATGATATAACTAGAGTCAAAAGAAGTTTAAGAATTATCCAGAGCTGTGATAACAGTTAAAGTCATTCGAGATCACATCTTTAATATTATTGAGAACTTTTCAGTATTCATGACAGTTTCTTATTTCCCTATTATACCTGATTCTGAAAAAATTGTGAAATGAGTCTAATTGCCACTCCACAGATGAAGAAGTTAAGGCTTTGAAAGGCCAAACAGCCCATACAAAGGCCCACTGTTACCTGGACAGAGATAGAATTTGAACTTGAAGATAGTTCTAAGGCTCTCTTCATAATCATTAAGAGATAGTTCTTAGACATTTGGAATCTTATGGATACAGATTGGAATTTAATATGTATGCTTAAATATTTTGAAAGCTCCTGCTCCATGGCTGGAGCTCATTGGTGAGGCTGTACAGAAAAAGACTAAAAGGAAAATATACAAGAGTGCTTACTTTCACCAGATACTTCTATTTCCAAGACTTTTCCTGTCCTACTGGTCCCTGCCACAAAAGGACATAGAAGTTTCCTATCTTCCCTTCTCCTCCTTTTTCCTTTTTCTACTTCTTTCCCTCCTCATTATGCTCTCCCTCTTCTTCCTCCTTCTTGTTCATCTTCTCCCCCTTCTTCTTTCCATTCTCCTCCTCCTCACCCTTCTTCTCCTTATTCCTCTTTTTCTTTTTTTTATAATCAAGCCTGCAGCTTTTCTTTTAAAGCTAAAATTCCAACTCAAATTTAGGAATATTTATAACACTGGTCCATGATGAAGTTTATTGTTTACTCTTTAGAAAGCTGGACTCAATCAATGAATGGAATACCCACTTGTTTAATAGAATAAATTTGGCTTTAAGAAATGAAATCTTAGAAAAATCCTTTAGTAATAAAACCTGATGAGTTATTGCCCAATAGAGTGAAATTTTATCAAAAGAGGAGGGTTGGCACACAAATTCAATTCAGCTGCACCTGTGTTGCTGGTGCTGGGGAGAGGCACACATTAATATCTTACAAATGGAGGTGTCTTCACCTAAAGAACTGTTTGGAAAAGAAACCACTTTGAAAATGTTCATGTTAATCTTAACCAAGTATGTTGGAATCACCAGAGCACTGTCTTCAGCCTGACTTTTCCTTGGAACTCTGTATTTGTATTCTCTGTAGCTACAGTGGCATTTCCACATGCAGATCTGTCTTAAGTGATACATTTTAAGTGATGTTGTCAAATTTATCCCCTTGGCACTTGCTTTTCCAGTCATGTGTGTAATGCACCCAGAACTTCCTTCTGGGGTCATCTTGCTTTCTTCCTGAGGGCTTTCTCAGGGCTTCAGAGGAAGTCAGGAATCAATGGTTTCCTGAGAATCTGTGAATAATACCCAACTCCCTCGGTGGAACAATTCTAATGTATACTCTTTGCTTCTTCCAGGGGGCTGAGCAGGAGTGATATTACCTGCCCACCCCAAACAATAGTAACTTGTGCAAGTTTATGTTTGTGCCTTTTCTTCTTTGTCTTGCTCATCTAACACCTTATATTATTTTTCACAAAGTCTCCTTCCAAATGCACTACTTAAAAATGAATCTTTCAGAATTAGCTTTTGGGGGAACCCAAATAAAGATACATCTCAAATTTGGCATGCTTGAATCATGTGTCTCTCACTTCTACTTTTTCCATCTCAGTTTATGAAAGCACCCAACAACCCCCAAATCATCACTCAGGGGATTTTTTTTCTTTTCTTTATATTGGAAAATTCATCTTTCATTTGGTCACTGTTCCTATGAAGTAAACACAAATCTTTCCTATCAGTCCTTCCTTTATTTCCAAGTCTCTCTAGTTAAAACAGTCAACATAATTTTGGAAAATTTTAATAGCTTCCTAACTCCTCTATATATTTAAAATTTATCCTTTCTTCCCTCAAATCTTCATAGAGTTACATGACTTATCCTTTGAAAACACAAATTTAACTACCTAGTTGTCCTGACAAGAAACTTCTGATCTCTCACCAATTCCTGCAGGAAACCCAAGCCCCTTAGCTCTGTACATACCATCATGAGCAGGCCCCTATTCTAATTACCTCTTCTCATGATGGACCTCTTCCTGAATGCCACCCACCATCCATTCACCTTGCAGCTTTCCAAATAATCCACTTTCTTTGTCAACGTTGGGCTTTGCACTTTCTATTTCTTGACCTTAGAATAGCTTTTGGTACTTTGGGTCTGATGAATTTGTATGCATCCTTATATTACCTAATTGAAACCTGACAGACAAGTTAAAATGATCCTTCTCTTTCTTTTCAGAGAGGTACTATCGTATGGAATGCCATGTATTCTCATGCTTATATATCTTTCTTGCCACTTTGCTGTGGATCCCTTCAGTGCAGAGAACACTTGGATATCCATATTTCCTGCATATGCTGCCTAATATAAATAGTGAGTGCCCAATAGTTGCATCCTTCTAAGTGCTTAGGTCAAAAGCTGTGTGTCATCCCTTTCTCTTTCTTTTACAGCTCACATATTCGATGTATCAAGACATCCTATCAGAGCAACCTCAAGACTACATCCTGAATCCAATCACTTCCTACCACTCTGACCATTACGAATGTGCTACGCCAGGACCTTGCTCCTGCATTATTGTAGGAGCCCCTTCACTGGTTCCCTTGTTTCCATCCTTGCCGGCCTACAGCCTATTTTCAACAAAGCAGGCAATCATCCACTAAAAATGTAAAGTGAGTTAAGACACATCCCATCTCCACTCACTAATGACATCCCATCTCACAGAGATTAAACTAAAAATTTGTACATGCTCAGTCCTACTACCCCAGTAAGATAATCTCTTCCCCAACCCTGTTCATCTGCTCCAGTCCCATCAGCCTCCAGTCCATCTGGAATACTATCCTCTTAGTATGGTTAACACCCTCACTTCTTCCATATTGTTGCACCGATATTACTTTCTTAATGAAAATACCAAATATTCAATGGTAATCCATTTGCCCACACCTCCCTTATTCCTTCCCTTTCTCTTTATTTTCATAGCACCCATTGGCTTTGAGCATGCACTAAAATGTGCTAGTTTCTTTTTTTTTATTGTTTATCATATGTTTTTACTCACAAGAAGATAACCCCACAGTAGCAGGGTGAGTGCTGGGAGCAGTGTTTAGCATGCGGAATATGATCAACAGCTTTTCTTAAGTGAATAAGTCAACAAATGGGTATAATTTCTTTTAAATAACTTGACTGTCACCTCAGGTGTCTAAGAAGCCTTTGCAAATGGTATACCTCTTGTTAACATGGCCCCTTGTTAAAGTGTCCTTTTAATTGAACGAATAATATTTGTTAATATCATTAACAAATAATATTTGATAAGTACAGTATGAACTCTAAAATATAATTAACCTGAAAAAAATGGCAAAATTAATTTTAATATTTTATTTAATGTAATATATCCAAATGTTATGTCAGTGGGAAATCAATATAAAAATATTGAGAGTTTTAATTTTTTTGCATATTACATCATCAAAATCTAATGTGTGTTTTATACTCACAGCATATCTCAAGATTGGGCCAGCAATTTTTGTAGTACATAATAGCCACAACCTTTGAAGTGCTTAATAGTTATTTTCAATTTTGAGACTGTAATTGATTTTGGGAAACAAACTGCACAAAGAAAACCATGGGTAAAGGGGTCTACTGTACGTGATTCAGGTAAAGAAAAACTTTTAGGTATGTTTGGAATAACTTTCAATTGTAAAATAAAATCTAAATTTGATATGAATTTAATATTTACATTAAGATGTACACTGAGTGTAAAGTTCACACCAGATTTCTATTACTTAAAATAATGTAAAATATTTCATTAGTACTTTTATGTATGCTATTTTGCATGTTTTGGTTTAAGTAAAATATATAATTAAAATTAATTTCACCTGTGTAATTTTACTTTGTTTACATGGTTTCTAGAAAGCATGTAATTATATCTATATTATATATTATATACAACCATACATATATGTGGCTATATATAATATACACTTACATATATTGTATAATATTATATATCAGACATACATCCACAGAGAGTATTCATTTTAAGTTTTCACAGAACAAAGGAAGTTTCAATAAATACCAAATAATCCACACATACAGATTGTACTCTGATCATAATGAAATAAAATAAAAAAAATACAACAACAAGAAAGCTTTAAACATCTCCTTGGCCCTTTACAAAACTGTATATAATGTGTACTACATAGTCACCGGGGTTAAGAGGAAATTTTGAAATTACAAAATATTTAAAAACGAACAAATAGAAAGTGTCAAATGTTAATTTTGTGGCCTATAGCTAAAGTAGCAATTGAAGTTTTGCATAACTTTAATACATTAATAGTAAGCAAGGCATATTGAAAACCAAGGCCAAAGGGTATAAGTAAACACATTAGGAAAAGAGAAAATAATAATGGAGTAAAACCAAAGCAAAAAGAAGGAAGGGCATAAAAGAGGTAAGGTTGAAAATCAACAAAACAGCCCAAATCCCTAATTAAATTGGATTCTTTGAAAAGTGAGATGATAAAGGTGGGCATAAAATTTTATACATTCATACACTTTAAAACTAGATTAAATGGCACAAAGAGAAATAGTGATCCTTGACTAGAGGAATCAAAGGAAAGAAGCTGCCATGAATCGAAGAAAGCACTCCCATTCCCCGCAAAATGCCTGTCAGCACAGATGGCACCCCACACATCTTTCAGCTATCCACGCATGTCTTGCACTGCACACGCAACACCTTCAGGTGGGTGCCTATGTGAGTGAGTGGTTGGCAGCCAGAACACAGATGGCAATCAAGGGGAAATAATAATATAAAATAAATCAGGAGAGGGGACATGTGTAGACATGATTTGCCATGGCCTGAGTGTTATTATTTTAATTCTTTGCATTTGAAGAGATATATAATGTTTCTGTCAATGTTATAAAGAATTTTTGGATTAGCTTCCCAGCTCAGGCTTTTTCCTTCTTTCTTGAATCCCAAAAATATAGTAACACAAAATTTAAGTATGTCAGTTCCCAATGGTTTCTCCTGTTCTGCAGTTTTTTTTTTTTAAAAGAAAGCTCTTCATAATTGAAATGACTTTTATTTCTCCAGGATACATTCTCAATGCTTTGATGTTTACTAAATAAGTACTGCTTTGCTGTTACTGACTGATTCTACATGACGACATCTGAAGCTAAGCAGAGAAACTGAAGCCTAGGAGTGTGTGTGTATGTTTATGGAGGGGGGTGCGGAAGAGAGAGACTGCTTCTGTAGATGCTGTCAAAAAAGTTAATTTAGATAAGCTAAATAGCTTATCTGTTTTGCACAATATCTTAATTTTATATCTGAAAATAATCTAATTTAGGCAGTAGAGGCTGCCTAAAGTAAATGTAACACTTGTTCAGTGAGCTAGGGTGAACCATGAACCACCTACAAAAAAAGAGACATCTGAATGCTCTTAAATACCCAATTGATCAAGGCATTGCTTTTCCCTAACACATCCAGGTGATGGTCATACTCCCCTCTGCACTGGGCCTCTAGGCTCCTCTGCATCAGCTATGTGCTGCCTCTCTTTATCTGCAAACAGAGGAGAGGAGCAGCAGGTTAGAGCTCAGACTAGGTTGACCTCCAGGTGCATTTCCATTGGTCACAAGGGCCAGGTTGAGCTCGATTTGCTTCAGTACATAAAGATAAGCTAAGGGCCCTTTCCAAAAGCAAATACGTTTAATTTGCACCATCACCTCCCCATGATTCAGTGGATAGAATTTATGATGGTGTTAACCCTTTTACACAAAAGTAGCAAATTATTCAGTCCTGGTAGGGAATATAAACCCACAGCAGATGCTTTTTGAAGCCCACAGGGGAAATTTCACTAAGAAGGTCCCCGCCCCTCCAGCATGTCTTTAAGAAGTAAGAGTACAGAGTGGCCCAGGTCTTTTAAGGAGAACCAAGTCCAGCTACTAGCAAACAAGTCTTTGCATGTGCCAAGTTCTGCTGGCCCCTCTCAGCAGTGGGATTTCAGACAAAGCTTCAGGAATGCTTTGCGGGGCAGCTGTTGTGCATTCAAAGCAGAAAAATGGCCTTAATCTTTGCAAAACCAACAAAGATAAGCAATAGCTTTAGCTGGGTTGAAATTGGCCAACCACGCTGCTACACAATGTCCTTGGGACCATTATCCAGGCACTGACCGCTGAATGGCACTGCTCAAGTATGCTGGCAATGTTTAACAAACCATCTGTCTTGTACCTGTTCCCACTGAACAGGAGCCTTTGTCTGAACCCTGGTCCAATCCAGCATGTCTGCTGTGTGCTCACCAGCTAGTGAAATCTCCTTGTTGCATTGTATTAATTTCACAAGTCTCTTGATTATGGTTTGTCCTTCTGTGGAGTGGCTGCTGCTAAAGACCAGTTTTGGAAAAGGGGATATGGATCTTGTCTTTGTCCATCTATTACTTCATATACCACCATGTGTGTAAAAGCCTTATTTTTTACACACATTTGCTTATTTGATCTTTCCCTGATTTTTCTTCTTTTAAGAGGAATTTCAACATTCATTCAAAAATAAATATTGCTGCTTTTATTTTTTATCTTGGTTAATTGTTCTTAAACTAGAACCTTCTCACTCTCTCATACATAATTGTTATTCCTCAGTAAAACATTTTCTGTTTAAATATTACACTTTCAGGAGTTTACTGATTATGTTACATAAGTGTTAGACTAAACAATTTGAACTTAATGTTTTTATAGGTCTAAAACAGTCAGATATTGGCATTTTTGTATGGAGATATATATATATATATATATATATATATATATATATATATATATAAAAATTTCTTTGTAAAATTGCCCATTTTGTTTTAGAGTACATGTGTGAGATGATAGCTAAACCAGTTCATGGTTTTAATTTTGTAAAAAAAAAAATATTCATGAAGCAAATTTTCTGTTTAGAACTTATTTCTCCTGTTCTGCCTTGCCCTTCTCGGAAGTAAAATGTCCCCCTCTTTTTTCCAGATGTCACAACATTCCTATAATTATGACTATCTTAAGCATACCTTCACAATGGAAATAGAATCTTCTTTGAAGTTGAAGTCATCCTTGAAACTCACCCATCATGTCCTTACACCAGCAGACTGTAGAGTGAGATCTGGATACCAGTCATCCCCCAGCTGCTCTATCTCTGATCTTCACTTGGAGTTTCTGGACAAAAGATTCTTATCTAGCAAAGGGACTACATTTGATAAGAGACAAACACTGTGTTAAATGCATAGGGGACTCCAAAATGTGTAGAGTATAAAGGTGAAAACAGCTCTGTGTTTACATATCTTTGAATACAGTTTCACAGTTGTGAGTACGTGAAACACAGAGTTAATAAAGCTATTACAATAATCATAACCTGTGTGTCTTTTTCCACACTCACTGTTGTAAACCTACTTTTGCCCACTGCTATGTGTGTCCACTTCCATATCCTAGCACCAGAGCTTCAATTACATTTATTTCATCATTCTCATAGACACCTCTTAAGCACAGTTTTGTCTTTAGAGCAAATATACCTAATTGAAGGAATCCAAACACCTACATTGTCTTTCCAGAAGGAATCTGGAAAACAAAATAGTCACCTTTAAAACAGGAGCACAGCAAATTTTGTCCTTAAATTTAAAGTTTCACTGAAGCCAGGAAAGAAAGCAGAGAGAGGGGGTAGAAGAGCTCTTCAGATTTTGACTCTCAGAGTTTCTACACAAAGAGAAACAAATGTGGTAGTGTTCTGCCAGATTGGTGGCCCCACTGGAGGCTTTAGGAAAGAGGAATTTCTTTGTATTTTTAACCTCATTTTTTAATTTCAATTTTGGTATATGTAATATATTTTGTAAGATAACCCAGTATTAAATGCATGTTGTATTAATATATTTTATTACAATATTATTGTTCATTAAGCACTAATATATATTTGATGATATTTAAACATTAATAGAATTATACATAATTATGTATAAAATTTATTCATGAATATATTTATTCATTTGACATCCTGACTGCTTTCATCCTTTGGCTATGGTGAACAATGCTGCTATGGACATGCATGAACATGTATTTATTTGAATCCCAATTTTTAGTTTTTTTGGAGTGGAATTGCTGAGATGTATAGTAATTCTATGTTAAATTTTTTAAGGAACCACCGAAGTGCCTTCCATGAGAACCATACACTTTTCCATTTGCGCCAGTCATGGACAAGTCCTAATCTCTCCACATCCTCCTCCGTATTTATATTCTTTTTTCTAAAAAATGAATGGCCCTTCCAATGGGTGTGAAGTGGTATCTCACTGTACTTTTGACTTGCACATTTCAAGAGTCATTTTTTGTTCAAAGGAATTTTGGAATGAATATCAAGGAATGACCTGTGGAGCCTCCCACAGACTCTCCTGGCATCTCCTGAAAGCTACTATATGGCCACAAGTTCTGATACTCAGTTGGGCCTTTCTTCCTAAAAGAAATCAGGATATCATTGCCACCAGGAGAGGGAGTGGCAGGTGTGTACCTGACAGTAAGAGGAATAAAAAAGAGATCTTAACTCCAGGCAGAGAGAGAATGACGTCCTGGAGTCCAGAGACTAGGGATAGCCAGGTTTGGGGAAGTCAGAAGAAAGAGCATATTGCCAGGTTAGAGGACCAGAGTCCTGAAGCTTTAATGGGACCAGAGAAGAACAGAATATCCTGAATCAAGAGCAGTCAAGAAGTCATAAAACACAGAGAGATCTTGGGCATGGGTGGAGCAGCTGGGAAATGTGGGGTTAAGACAGGGATCTTGTGGTCTAAAATACATGGGCAGATTTACAAAGAAACATATCTGGGAGCAATCCCCATTTGTAAACTTGTAACTGTCTCTCCTCTGCCTTGAGTTCGAATGGTGGTTCTCATGTTAGTCACACATTATAATCACTTGTGGAGCTTCAAAAACTCTCAATGGCCAGGACAATGAAATCAGACTCAATGTGCATGGGACCCAGCATCAGTATCTTTTCTTTTTTTAAATTTAAATATTTATTTATTTAGAAAGAGGACAAGGGACGGAGAAAGAAAGGGAAAGAAACATTGTCATATGAGAGAGAAATATTGATCAGTTGCCTCTCACACAGGCCCCAACCAGGGAATGAACCTGCAATCTAGTTGTGTGTCCTGACCAGGGATGAAACCAGTGAGCTTTATCTTTGTGAGCGGATGCCCAATCAACTGAGCCACACTAGTTAGGGCCCAGGGTTAGTATCTTAATGTTCTCTTGATGATTCCAGTGGACAAAGATGAAGAAAATAGACTTTTAGGTTTAAAATAGTAGATTTAAAAAGCAGACTTTATTATATTGTTGTTTTATTATAAAAGAAAGAAAAGTATGCTATAGAAGTTTGGATGAAATGAATGTGTTGATGGAAGATGCCACCTGTAGCCTCATGACCTTATGGCTGCTGTAGATCATGCAGTCTGTGTCCAATTTGGGGCTCCATTCTTGGAAGGGTAGACAAATGCTGGCAGTCAGAGCAGGGCTGTGCTACTGAGGACCCACAGAATGTGATGTTATTTTCTGGGTCCCCAGCATTGTGGCAGACACAATGAGGGCTGCACTCGATAAATGTGTGTAGGATGACTGAATGGAAGTAGGAAGGTATGAATTCATTAAAAGCAGTCCAAGACACAGCCCCTGCCCTCTAGGAACTTACAAAAGGGCAGTTGAATAGACATTGCAATGACAGGAATCAGATGGCAATAATAGTTTCTACATCAGTGGCTCTGTGTGTTTGTGCACACAGCCCTGCAGCCAGAGAAACCAAGGGAAAGTTTTTGAAAACTGTTTGGTATTTATGGCTTTTCTTATCTTTATTAATATCCTGCAAGGCACTGACACACCACCAGGTCTTGATAAAACAGGTAAACAGGAGCAGAGCAAAACCCAACAAAGCAAGTTGCCAGTGGTACCCAGAGACTATCTGGGTGGTCACAGAAAGGTTAGTGAGAATGTAAAAAACCCTGCCTCCCAGATGGGAGTTATTCTGTTGATTGTTTGCTTCTTTATTTATTGGATAAAAGTTTCCCGAGTTCTCTGGCCTACAGATAAATTAAGTGGAAAAGCTGAGAGCTCCTTGCCAATTAGAACGTCCTCCTCTGAAATGGTAAGTATGATACCATGAAGACTTATAGGCCATGGAAGAACTGGGGACTTGTCTTGTCATCAACTATCTGTATGACCTTAAGAAATGTCCATAACTTCTCTGATGTGCAAGGCAGATAGCAGTTTCTGTTCTGCTTTCCTTGTCTAGTGGTTGTACAAATTCAGCAATAAAGAATTACTGATCCAAAGGGCACCTTTTACTCCTTAGGTGTTTTTAACCTCCTGCTACTTAGAGGGCTAATAATCTTCAGGTCCCTCAGTCACAGGACAGACCACGGGCCAGGTGTATTGACTCCAGCTGGGCTGTGGTCATGACGCCTGCTGTCTTTTACATGCTGAGGGATGTAGGCAGCCACCAGTTGCCAACAGATACTAGATTCCTACAAGAATACCAAAGAACCATTTATACATGCAACTTTATTAGCCACTTTTGCTATTTTAATTTCTTCTCTTTTTCCATCTGTCACTGTCAGGTACCCTTTTCTTCTGTTCAAAGAGAAAATGGCCTTTTCCCTCATGGCTCATTCTGTGTTTTTCTTTTTTTTTTTTTTTTTAAATTTGTTTGCTTTGTTCTTAAAATCCACACCAGAATGTATTTGTGTGTCTTTAAGTGTCTGGCAGTGGGTTTTGAAACTGGGGTGAGGACCTTGACCCCAGCCTGCCAGACTAGGTCCCTTCCACAGAAGAGCATTGCGGAACTGTTTACTCTGAGCCTGCAGAGTGGCTGTCACCATGTGCTGTAGAGACTTGGTGTTGGGCTAGCAGTAGCCAGACAATGATCAGCTTGTCTCTATGCCATTTGGAAAGATAGTATCTCAATTAATTTTGAATTGTTTTTATTTTATATATATGTATATATATATTATTTTAATTAACTTACTTTTTAAATTCTTATCCATGGATATATTTATTGATTTTAGAGAGAGAAGAAAGGGGAAAGAGAAAGAGAGAGAGAGAGATTTATGTGAGAGAGAAACACCTACCAGTTGCCTCCCATATGATCCCTGACAAGGAATTGAACCCACAACCTAGGTATGTGCCCTGACTGGGGATCGAACCTGCAGTATTTTTGGTGTACAGGATGACACTTCAACCAACTAAGCCGCTTGGCCAGGGCTATTTTATATTGTTTTAAGATTTTATTTTATTTTTTTGGTTAGCTATACCACAGAATTTTTCTTTGTATTTTTATTTTAAAGATGAATTTGAAATCCTGAATTGTTTCTGAGCTTCATGAGAGGAGAGAAGTAGATTAAGATAGAATTCCTACTGTATCTAGAGAAAGAAGATACTACACTAGTCTTAGCTCTGCTGATATATTGGGCTGTGACCTACTTAACTCCTCTCTTTGAGCCTTCTTTTTATCATCCATAGAATGGGGAGGTTGGCTTATTCCTGAGTACTTAAAAAAATGCTTCTGGAAATATCCAACATGGAACAACCAACCTGGATGACCATCTGAAGACTAACTGAATAGAAGTCATATAACTAAAGATATACAGAAGAAGAACATCAAGACTTGTAGGAGGGGCAGAGATGCAAAATGGGCTTTCTCCACACTAATGTGCAGTGGTTGAGAATCAGAAAGGATATATCAACTGCAGAGGTCCTCTTGAGGAGTGAGAGGTTTCAATCTCATGTGGGCCCCCAAGCCCAGCCTAGCCCACCAGTGCCAGGAAGAAGAGCCCACTTAACATCTGGCTGTGAAAATCAGTAGAGATTCCATCTATTCATGTGAGACATAAGGCTGCTAGAAACCTAGGCATCTTCTTAAAGGGACAACACAGAGACCCTTGCTTACAGCAACTCACCCTGTGTTCCAGCAGAGAAATAGGGGCTCTGAAGGAGCTGCAATCTTAAGAGTAGAGATTGAGTTGTGTGGCTTCAAGGAAAGGGCTGGAGGAATAACCACCAATATGCCTGTGTGAAGTTTCTATCCTACACTGCACATGGACCCCATTTTTCCTGGGTTGAACATTCCCCCACAATGGCATCAGCCTGGAAAGATGCACTAGCCCTACCCTTCCAACTTCCTGCGCTCCCTCCCCCAACTCAGCTTGCACATGCCTGTGGGCTCTGCTAGTGGTGGCCAGCCTGAGCCCTTATTTCAATCGTTAAAAAGAAAACTTCTCGAGGAATTCTGGGCAAGCTTAAGGGGGTGCCAGTGACACAGAGAAAAACTAATTTGTGTGGCTTTAGGGAGAGGGCCATCTTCTC